TCCTTGGCCCATAGTGTTTCTTAATTAATTCATTTTTGATTCGTTCAAATCGGGCTCGGTTCGCCCGCCAATGGCACCAACCAAGCGAACAAATAGTCACTTTCCTTTTCTTACACATACAAAATACCGACTATTTGTCTTTTTTGTTAATTTCGTTAAGAAAAAAAATCAAATTACATGTAGGTTGGTAGTAGTTTTGTAAACAAAACATTTTCTTCATAAGTCTTGCTGTTGAAGTGGTGTTATTACGAAATACCTATTTGAGCGCGGGGCCCCCCAATCCGCGGGGCCCGTAGCATTTGCTACTCTTGCTACGTGGCTAATCCGGCACTGGGCGTAGGCAGAGGTGCACATTATACCACTGTACAATGTAACACGCACTTTTCACTGTTTATGTTACGAGTCCCATGTAATAGGGAGTGAGCCTATTGCCATATACCGGGCAGAACTCCAGACTCCGTGCTACTACTAAGAATATTTAAAAACCCAGTAATACTTTGCTCGACCCGGGAATCGAACCCGAGACCCCTTGCCCAGCAGTCGCACTTACAACCACTCGGCCAACGAGGCAGTCGTATGTGTTTATGTATATTTTAAAATCATATTTTAGTTAGTCAAAATTATATCAAGTATTAATGCATGTGAAAACATATATAAAAATAAAATTATAATTATGTTAGACCTACTCTCGCCTGTGATACAGGATTATCCTAGTACAGGCACCTAACCATGCGAGATCTATTTTACTTACCCAAGAAATATTTTTGTATCTGTGTCCATTTATATTTCTGAATAAGGATTTTATTTATTTATTAATATTAATTTAGATTTTTCTACACAAAAAGGTTCGTCTAATTCAGCATAATTTCTACTTCTGGCTATTGAGGTAAAAGATAATGCCGTATAAAACCCGAGAAAGAAATACAATGTGAACCATTTGACGAGAAGACGCCCATGATATAACAATTTTTAAAAAGCTCCTATTTTCCTTTAGTACCTACTATTACCTACTTACTTGGCAAGTCTGGCTTATAAGACTTTCAAAAGTATCCCACGTCCTTTGCTCACCAAATAGCGCAAGCGCATCGATATAGCTCTCATTGTAATAACTGCTTTTTATTTCTTTGAGGGGGGAGAATCATCCAAGGACTTCTCCGGCCTGGGTAAGGCGAGAGTATCAGACTCTTACTGACTAAAAACCATCTCAATCATACTTCTGCCCTTCAAGCCGGAGTTAAGTCCTCCACGGTTCTGTATCATCAGTCCTATTGGGTCACTTCTGTGGTGGTCTGATGGTTCTTTGAGTACGCTCCGTACGATCGTGTCTAGTCTTCTGGTCGGGCGGCGAGCTATCCATGCTCATTGTAGTGCTAAACTTGGCTAATACTTACGATCATTATTAACTTGCTCCTCAATGACTTCCACTCGAAGTATGACGCAGAGCTCGGCGAGAGTCTCCAAGTGATTGATGTGGATTATTTGAGACCGCAGCGACTCGTATAGCCCCGTACACAATGATTGTAGGTATTCACTGAAAATATTATAGGGGATTTGTTAATAAATGATTACTATGAAAGTTGTGTAAACGATTATTGTATATAGATAATTATGTCTGCCTCGTTGGCCGAGAGGTCGCAAGTCGTAGCACGGAGTCTGGATATGTGTCCGGTATATGGTGATAGGCTCAACTCCTATCACATGGGACCCATAACCTAAATAGTGAAAAGTGGGTGTCACTTATGTGTGCACCTCTGCCTACCCCTTCGGGGATAAAAGGCGTGATGATAAGTAATTATGTCGCTTGTAATAAGAAAGGTAAATAAGGATTTAGCATACAGGATTTATGGCTTACTGACGTAACTGTTAGTTCTCGAGCATATATTTACGGGCCCCTAACCTATCTTGAAAGTAGTTGAGTATCCTATTCGGACAGTTATTTATCTTCTTTTTCTAACAGAGATCTAAAGAGAACTAGAACTCATACTTCTCCATAAAAAGAGGTACCTACATTGTTAATTGTTCAGCTACCATCGAGATAATCTAAAAACTTACTAAAAACCGCGGGTTACTCACTGTAGGCTCTCAGTAGGCTGCACGCGCGCACGCTGCTCATGAGGAAGGACCCCTCTGTGGTTCGAACCACAGAGGGGTTCTTCCTCTAGTAGAGCTTGTCTCAATATTTTCACGTGTGTAACCCGCGATTTTTGTTAATTTGTTAACTTACTCTAAAGCTGGCGATGGATTTGTGAAGAAATGATAGTAGAGTGCACATTCGTCTCTACAGGCATGTGCCAGCAGAGAGCAAGCGGCGCGGAGCTGCGAGCAATGGTCGGGGGGCGCCGCGCCGGCCGGGCCCGCGCCGTCTCGGCCCGCGCCGGCCCGTCCCGCGCCGGCCCGCCCCGCCACCGCCCCGTCCGTCGCCGCGCCCGCCACGCGCCAGCGACGACCTGCGTACTCGCGTTGTATGTCTGACAGTAGAGATGCGTAGCTAGAACCAAAGAAGAAATATGTTATGGCTTAGTCAAAGATACATTGCGGAACAAATGTCCCAAGACATGTATCGGCGACTTGTGGACCGAAGACGGCCGATGTCGCCTGACATATACGGTGACAACGCACAATTTATGTCCATACTGACGTTGATATTGCCAGACATGTCGATATGTTTTTCTTTCTTCTCCTGTTATAATATCTTCTGATTCACTTCATTGCGGGAACCAAGACAGTTACTCATGTCCCTGGGACGCGCCGGACTTCAGTGTTCCGGTGTTTTCATGGTTGTATCTACTGTAGATCCTGGCTTACAGGAGTTGCAGCGGTTTTGGGAGGTTGAGGCGGGCTTGTCTCAAAAATTTCTACGAGGTTCTTGCCACAAAAAAGAACTCAACTCGTCGAGTACCGTCATTATAGACACAATTATAGAACATAAGCATAAAATATAAAATCATAAGCATTGCCATGCCAGTAGGCTACTGGTAGTAGCAGGTTTTAGCGAAACTGAATTGCTTTTGTAGAACCAATCATTTCTCCGCCCATCTGTAGACCCCAAAAAGGCGACAAGGCACTTGCAATTCTTCTGGTGTTGCGGACTATTGTCTATAAGTGACACCAATTGCTTACCATCAGGTGGTCTGTCCGCTCGTTTGCCGCTCTATACTATAAAAACATACTTACTCAGCATTCTTCTCGGCCCTAGCTTCAATTTCACCAATAACCATCTTCAGCTTGGGGGCAGCGGCTTGGAACTTCCCGAAATACACAGCATAAGCGGTGTCCATGTTCTCCTGGTCATTCTGGTCCTCGTCCTTAGGAGCTAGCATCTGTTCCGTGGCGTGGTTCAGGACGTGGGTCACGTAGGAACGTATGAGAGAGATCGCACGGCTTTGGAGGTGGCGGTACTTCACTAAGTAGGTGTGGGATTCCTTGTAGTTACTCTGGAAAATAGATTTTTTGTTGAGAAATTAGAAATAGAGAAGAAGTAATTAAATGTCGCCGTGTGATGACCTGCTGCTGGTGCCGTAAGAGCCTGTTTAAAGGACTAAATATAAGGTGTAACTGGAAAGCTCCCGAAAAACACGACATGTGATGATAAAAAACTAGTCTTATTTCCATAAAAGTTAGAATTAAATACTTCTTTAATGTAATAATAGTTGTAAGCACCCAGCCTTGAGCAGTTGCTCAAAGCTGGGTGCTTACTCTTGAATCCAATTCCAATCGATCGACATTGGTATTGTGAAATTTCGTACTCTTGAGTTGCAACACTAGCGCCCATTGCATCCGTATTGCGTGGATATTGAATGAACTAAATGGTATTGAGTTTGGCTTTATATTCCGTACTCTGAATGCTATTTTAACAGCAACGATTGTGGTTGTATAGTTTTGACATTAAATAATTATTGAGATTTTATTGGGTTGAAATTGCATTGACATTGAGATTGGTTTCAAGAGTAAGCACCCTGATGTTGCATAAATAACACGAAAATGAAAATGGTTACAAAATGAAGAATCGATTTGTTTGTGTCAGCGTTCCGTTTACACTTTATATTTAACAGAGATCAGGCAGCAGAAAGTTTGTTAAACCAGATCCTTTTAAACTGCGATCACCAGCCAGCCTGCCAAATGTGGATTCCCTCTTTTATAGAGGATACTGATAGTCCAGCAGTGAACTCTTACAGGGTATTGTTGATGATGGATTAGAAATAGGTAGATTGTTTTATTTCATAACTTTTCACACTATAATTTACATATTTAAGAAAATAACTAATATTGTCTTGTGTAATATGACTTCAGAATCCACTTACATTAGCTCTCATATACTCCAAGCACTCGTCGATCTTGGCGAGCACATTGAAGAAAGTCTCGCTGTTCACAGACATGGTGGGGCTGTTCAGTCGCTGGGACAGATGTTCCACCTGCGTGAAGTAGTGCAGCTTCTGTTTGATGTCGTCACCTGGAAACACCAGCATTCATATTTAGAAGTTTGAAAGAAGATAACTTGGTAAAGGAAATTTTCCAATTACCCCCTACCCAACTGCCCCAATCCCCAACAATCCTCAAATTCCTAATCCCCAAAGGCTGGCAACGCACTCGTAACGCCTCTGGTGTTTCCGGTGTCCATGGGCGGCGTCAATTGCTTACTATCAGGTGACCCAAATGCTCATTTAGCGTCTTAAGTCTTAACCCAAAAAAAATAGCCTACCATTTTAGGTGTAGGTAAAATTCTTTATTTACTAGAATTCATGCCTTCCATTGTAGAAGTAGGTGATAATATAATTATAGGTTTCTTTTCAAAAACGAAATGAATGTCCAAAAGAGTATCGCTCTTGTAAACGGTACTTTTTGCAAAATATTATGTTTTGCATTATGTAACATTGTGATAGCCATACCTGAAACTAGTTGCACTTTGTTTTTTTTTTGCTAAAATTGACTAAAGTAATATCTCACCTATGCTAGACAGTTTATTTTGATCAGCCAACAGTTGCTCACTCATTGTGTGCAGAGCATTCGTTTTATTGGATACAAAGTTGTATTGTTCGGACAATTTGTCCAAATCAGACATTGTAGCACCAATCTGAAAAATATTACATAGGAAAAATAAGATAACTAATAAAGATTATATAGTTGTTGAAATTACAACTTTAAAATGGCTTGCAGGTTTTTTCTGAGAGATATTTCATCAATGACCTATACCCCTTCTAAACTGGCCTTCAGGAAGAAAGTTTGATGACCAATGACCATTGCTTTAATGATAGCTTAGTATCTACTTAAACTGTCAAACACCAAGCGGTCACCGGTGACCGCAACCTATTGTTCTATAATTGTGTCTACAAAACCGGTACTCGACGAGTTAAATTACAAAAGTATTTCTTTTTTTCTAATATGTATGTTAATATTAATATTTATTTATTTAATAGGTAGACAAAACAGAAACACAGCGCAATACACAACAGAGTAACAATACAAAACTGTAAATGGCAGACCATGCTTTCACAAGTATGTGCACACAACATGACATACAACAACTAGTATTTATTTATTAACAATTATTTATAATTAATTATAATCCAGAACAAAATTAAAGATAAATTGTAATAAAGAGAGTTAAGAAAGCAATTAAACAATAGATACAATATTTAATATTCAATATTGTCCTCATCATCGGACCGACCAAATAACAATTTCTTAACTCATCGAGTACCGCCTTTATAGACACAATTATAGAACAATAGGTTGCGGTCACAGGTGACCGCTTGGTGTTTGACAGTTTAATAATATTTTTAAATTTGTGATACGAGGTATTGTGGATATCAGGCACGCCCATGCCACTCGAGAGTATAGAGAATATGATTGTATACCTTATTATAATTCATTGTACATAATAACAAGTTCTTTAAATATTTGAATGTATTTCCACATTCAGATAATTTGAAAATAAGTATGACACTGTATAACTTTAGTAAATTAAACATCTAAAACCCCTATTTTCCTCTATTTCTTATATGTATTAGCCAGCATGAATAGAGACTGGATATTTACCTGATTGGTCAATGCAACACACTCATTTCTTCTATCATCCAGCTGCTTATGGTAGGCCTCGTATGGCGCATCATCAGTCTTCAAATTGTTGTCACACAGACTCTCATACCACTCCAGAAAGTCATATGTTGTGTCTACGGTGGGCATGTTACTCTTATCAAACTCCTCATCAACATTATTTTCTGTTGTTCTCTAGAAATTCAGATACGTGGAAGTAAGGATTGAGGTATAGTAACTACAACTGAAGTCGATAAAGAGATTCATTAGCTTTAATTAAAGGTAGTACTTTTAAAATTTCAAAACAATTTTTCATATACTAATATTATTATAAGAAAAAAGTTGTATAATGTGTACACTTAATAAAGATATTAGCTTGACTCTTGAGTCTTATAATGCCTGTTATTGTTAGGAAACTAATAATAAATAGTGAAAATACAAACATCGTCCAAGTCACTAGATACACCGAGTAAAAGTGACTCTAAATCTAAGATAGCTTCTCTCTGCTGCGACGTTAGAGGTGCAAGAGGATTTTCTGCAGCCTCCCATAGTAAAAGCTTGCTTTGAATCTCTTTCAAACTCATATTATCCATAATTTCCGTTTGTTATTATTTATTTCCAACTTGCAGGTTGTCTGACATTCCACTGACAGCTAGTGACGAGAGACCAAAAATCGCGTTCCACGTACACAGGAAAATGTACTATCGTTTATTCAGGTGACTCGTGTACAAACGATAGAGAGCAAGTATGATGTAGCTAAAGTATGCTCATTGAACATGTTGGCAATCGTTGAAAAGTTCACGTAGCAAAAAATTAAGAAGATTAAAACTGTTCTGGTTTATGGTATGACTTTGAAAACCATAAATATTCTATGTTTAGAGCCATCTAGTGTCGAGTAGCGCAGAAGGGAGAAGAGGAAAATTAATATAGCCATTAGCTGTTACCATTGTGACTTTTAGTTTTATATTTAATAAAATAATTAGCGTGATAAAATAATCCCCTATAAAAATGAAATGTAGTAGTCATGTTAGTCCTCTAATTATGTATCTTTAAAGGACTAACATGACTACATTTTCAGTACCTAGCTATGTACATAAGTACATATCTATCAGGGTATGATATTATATTAACCTTAACTATTTTATTAATTCAAAATTTCAAATGGTTTACTTTATTTATGAAAAAAATCAAAGAAGTACCAAAATACAAAATATTTAAACTGTCTATAACTTTTACTTGGTTACAGCAATGCCATCTATATTATGACTAATAACAATCGCTAAACACTACATTTGAGTCGTTGGCCTCGTTATACATTTTTCCGCAATAGATGGCGCTGATGTCAGATTTTATATGTAAGTCCTAACACTAACGCCATCTTTCCAACATTTTCGAAGATGTTGGGAAAATAAATTTAGGAGAACAATCAATAGATGGCGTTAACCGTTAGTTTAATTGAATTATAGATGTAAACATTGGATCACCTGATCGTTTCGGAGAGTCGGAAAACGGATGTGAAAATTGTAGCTAGCGGCATGTAACTTTGTAAACAATACTCTCTACAAACTTTGAACCGGTACAGCCGGTAACAGTTTAATTTGGTAACCAGTGTCTTTCACCTTACGTTATTTTTTGTGGAATTAATTTTATCAGTTCCAAGTATTTTTATCTGAACTTAAAGTCAACTATTTTTAACACTAATTTATTTCAAGTATATTTTTCGCTTGAATAAATATAGTGAACTGTATCTGAATGAACACTGTTGTTTTGTTTATTGCTTACTTTTAGACAGTACTGACAGTGTCAATAGTCGTTTTCACTATTTGAAAACGAATTTAGAGGTTTAAAAAAATCTCTTTAGTGTAATTTTTCAGGTAGTTTAAGGGTAGTAAATAAATAATACAGTGTTTTGAGTAGTTTTGCATTTATTGGGTATGAGGAACCTTTCTGGTCAACATAAGCTACAATGGACTTTTGTTTACAGTATATTTACAAATTTCAGTATATAATATAGTTCATATTACCATTATCTATATCTAGAGTAATGCTTCTAGGAGTAAATTACTGTATATTCACAATAATTATGAAGACCCTAACAAAATCGTCTATACACATACATATATGTAGTAGCGTTGTACAAAATACTACTATTTAGGTAAAATTGTCACACTTCAGTCGCTGGGACACACCTTCCTAACTTTGGCTTTTAAACAAACATAGAGCCTGACTTTCACGTCACATCCCACTAGTTACAATCCATACAATCAGTCACCAGCCACTTTGTTCGCTTGTTTAATGTTAAACAATCAAGCTATTTAAATACAGCGAATATTTTAAATTATAACGTTTAGATATACTTCTCGCGATAACATCTGATCCAACCTTTGAAGGCAGACTACGGAATCGGTTTCTTAATCACATTCTTTCGTTATATACATCGTTCCGACTCACAATTCTATTACAACTTGTACTATATACAAACAATTTTTAATTATTAAAAAAATACAATGTTAAATTACTATATACCTCCATTATCATAGGGTTGGAATAAAAATAGTATATTTTTTCAGTTTCAGCGTGCAAAATTCTCTAAAGCCAGCATCGCACGAGGTCACACTCTCGCAACGATTCTAATTGTAAACGACTGCTCAGTACAACGGTACACATTACGACTGTGGATAACATACATTCAAACTTCTATATTACTTTATCGTAAATATGTAATTAACAGTACCAACTAAATGAAAACTGCACACAACTCATTCAGTACATATTGCTAACGACAGATCATTGTTATCGGCCCTTCAGGAACACTTGCAATTTAATGCATCCTAGTATACATACAGAGAAACCTGATAAATAACTTAACATTACATTAAAAAAATATATAGATAATAAATTAACACACAGTCATTGTTCAATGCATAGGAATATTCAACTATTTCATTACATTATCATATTAACACACGTCTTACAAGTTATCTTAAATGGAATACATTACGTGGATAGCGATACCTAACGTTAAACCAAATAAAAATATACACGACGTACATCAAAACACTAAAGACTCGTTGCTGAGATGCGTAGCAAAAGCATGGCAGTTAGCACGAAATTCTGCACCCTAAATATTAATAACAGAAAAATATATATCTATGTTTCCGAAGCATAATGTCTGGTGGTGCAGTGCGCGGGAGCCGCCCCGGGCGCTGCAGGCGGCAGCCGGGGCGGCGGCCGCTCTAACTAGACACTTGTGTGATTTATACGAGACGCGCCGGCGCAGTGCGCGCAGCGTCCCTCGGCGCTCGACCGGTGTACTTACACTCGTTCCTTGTTAACCTACGAATTAACATAGCACAGCCTTAGTGACTCCGTGGGAGGGGTGCCGCGGGCGGGGTCGCGCGCCGAGGGCGAGGCCGGGGACCTCAATGGCCGGCGGGGGCCGGCGGGCGTGTTCAGCAGCGCCACGCCGCCGCCCTACGACACAGGCGGCTGGGGGCCCTGCGGGGCTGCTGGCGGCTTCGTGCCAGCCGCGGCAGGCAGCTGCGCCAGGGTGTCCTGGCTCGCATGAGCCCGCAGGTATGTGTTCTCCACTTCGAGCTGGTTGATCCTCTCCATTAGTTCAGCGATGCGCTCTTTCAATACTTCCACTTCCTCGCGCACCGCGAACATCAAGTGGCTCTTAACCAGATCCTGAAACAACACAAAATATTTACGTTAGTTAAAGTGATAACATCACCACACGATTTGTTTTTGACGGAAATAAATTAGCACTGTATTAATATTCATTTTAAAACGAAAATAAAATAATATTGTCAACATGGGCTTAAATCGTGTTGTAAAGTGATAATAACACACGCGATTAGATTATTATCGTAAGAACGGAATGCGTTTCAAAAACCTACACCGGTTTAACAAAAATAAAATCTTTCGAGTGAAAAATAAAACGTACTTTTGGATTTGGCACGACCACGTAACAGGTATCTTTTTGTCCTTTCTGTCTGATTTCGTACAGGCAGCCATCTCTAGGTTTTTGCACAACGTCAATCATGTTTAAACTGACTGATAAACTTTTCAGGGTCACTGTGTATATGAGCGTCTCCGGCGACGACTGAAACTCGACTGGCGATAACGTGGAACTCGCGAACTAATGCGGCGAAGTTGCTCTCTCGCGTCCTACCAGGCGACTGATGGTCTGCGCGCGCGCTCGCCCTATTTAAAATGGCGTTGAACACGTCACCACGCCACGCGAGCCAACCGTGCTCCCTGAACTCAACGACACAACCTACATCGATATCATCAAAGCCCTTAAAATCTTTTAATATAAGTATATTCTAATAAAACTTTTTGGAATATATCTATATATCTATATAAATAAAAATGAATTTCTGTTCGTTAGTCTCGCTAAAACTCGAGAACGGCTGAACTGATTTGGCTTATTTTGGTCTTGATAGGTTCGTGGAAGTCCAGGGAAGGTTTAAAAGGTGAGAAAAATCTTTTAGGCGGTACGAAGTTTGCCGGGTCAGCTAGTTAGTTTATAAATCTGACTTTAAGAACTTAGGAAGTCATTAACAAATTACTATTGTAATAGACACGCATATTAATAACACAAACAATAATAAGTACAAATTTCAAATAGATTGACTTCGCTCTGCTTTAATTTGGAGCAAATAAAAAGTTTTCCACGAGAGCTTAGCATGTACTTGCAATTAGTATAGAATATAACAACATCAAATAAATAGCACATCGCTAAATTGGACATACAAGTAAGAGCAAATATGATCCAACGGATTTACCCATGAAAATCAAATAACAAGTTGCTAAATAAAGATGTAGCAGCACATGTTTACGCTTCTCATGAACAAGTGTTTACTCCAGTCAATTATGCTTCATTGGAAAATTTTCGCCCTTAATAAAGGGCCTTCATGGTGCGCGACAAAAATAAAAACATTAAACTGTGCCGGAATGTAACTAATTACTCAAGTGGTGCTGCTCTAATACAAGGTTGCATAACACTATAAAGAAACGAAAACAACAAACAAAACTTCTATCGATATAATAATGACGTTACAGTGCTTTTAAAGTCAAGAGAAGGCGACACGATACTTAAGAATGCAATACGCCAGACTAAGATTTTTATGGTATTATTTTGCAATGAGCCTAACAGAATGCGGATAATTAATAAAATAGATTAGTAATAGACGTTCATTTTCTACATATTAGCGTAACTTGCAATTCTAATCAACATAGTTGCAATAAAATATGTAATGTTTATAATATCATAAATAATTCGATGAGAACATAAGAACGTAGTCGTGTCATTTTTTTCGCTCAACAATTTATAATTCACTAAACAGACATTTCATGTAGACGCCTACAATTGCTACGCAGTGGGAATGCGCCAGACGAGCGAAAACAATTTTAAGAGCAAATTTCGAGTCATCCTAAAGATCGGTGAGTCAAGGTATGCACTTAGGCTCGTTGACTGGCTAAATGTGGTGAGGATGAGTGCTGTGAGTAGATTTCGGGAGAGATATAATTAGAACAGGATATTAATAGACGCTTTGATGAGATCTTATTAAGTGTGGCTGCTCTTGCGTGGGTGTTGCGACCTTCAATTAGAAGAATTTGCGCTTAAATTACACCGGTCTGCGCCGGATCTCGTTAGACAAAATTGAGGTTCGCGTCTGTAACAGATTGATGGGGCGCCAAAGTACTCATCACACCAATATATTGGCGTTCAATTGAGAACAAGTTCAAGAGAAACTGGATAATTTCGCTTGCAAATGAATACAAATGGAAAACAGTAATTAGACGCAGTTTACTATCGTAAGCATTAGCACCTTATTTGCGATGTAAAACAGCACTTATCATTGTTTGCCTACATTTTCATGTCAGTAGGTGAATTAGATAAAGGGAACGTGAAAAACATGTAAATGAGACCATTTAGAAATAAGTTATATGAAAAATTATAGAAAAGGTTGAAATAATGATTCAAAAGAAAGTAATGCAAGTTCTTGAAGCGACGGAGAGTGCAGTGAACTTTTTGTCGAGCTGCGCACCAAAAACAGAGACCGATGATATAACCAGTCCAAGGGCATACGTTAAAACCTGTCGCATTGTTTTTAATTATAACCGGACGCGACAGCAAACAAGACAACGGGTAGTTAGACACCTGGTACCATTCATTCTGATGATATCTAGACTTGACTAATTTAATCTTCATCACGCACTGCACAAGCATTATTCATAACTTTAATATTGAATGCAGTTTCATATCCTTGTACGTCATTGATAGCTTTACATGCGTCTACTGTCGTCAATTCGATCGATTTATCGCAAGTTAAAACAAGCGGTAAGGCACTTATCAACCAATGATATTTTTAAGAACTACATTCATCCGGTTATCAGTTGCATGAACGTAAACCTTCCACTTTTTATCAAATATCATAACAGCGGATTTAAAATTTTATGAAAAACAAAGAAGACGGATAAACAGCAAAGGAAAAAACACAAACAGGTTTGAAGTTCAACATGGCGTGTAAACATTTTTAGCAGACGAGTTTTAATTTAATTGTATTAGTGACATCACCACTATTATAAAATATTGTTGGCTCATATGTGAAGTAACAAAACAAGTGATAAACGAAGCTTCCATAGTAATGGTCCTAGCAATAGATACGGGTGTGTTTACAATACATAGTGTACTATTATGGCACGAACTGTTTTTGGATTTAACTTAAGCGTTTGAGTAGGTGCATCATGAAGTTGATGTTTACTAAATAATGTGGTGGACGTCAATACAATAATTGTTAATTTAATGGAAGTGAAGATAAAATTAACTGTTCATATTGTTAGAATAGATGCAAGCATTGTGTGGTAGTACGAGCATAACTGTGATTCTGTTATTGAATTGTGTATTAATAAATGTTTATGAGACACCTCGTACTGAATATCTATCACTATTCACTATCACAGTAGGTATATTTAGTTGATATTCTGTGACACAAGGTAAACATTAATGTTAGGAAAGTAAACAAAGATAGCACACTTTATAATAGCAATTCAATAAACATGATAAGGTAGCAAGCGCAATATTAGAATTGCAGACATTTTCAAGTAGCAATAGGAATTTATTAGTGAGAATATTTTTGAATCCATATTTATTTGCTCGGGGACTGCTGAGTAATTCATCAATATGCATTAGCCTGTTAAACGGGTTATCGATATTTGAAAGAGCATTCGCAAAAGTGGTCACAGGCAAAAAATTTTCCTTGCATGAGTCAAATAAATCTTTTGGTTTTCACTTCAGCCATCATACATGCATATAAATGCAAGGGCTTTCCTAAACATTACGGATGCGCTACCTACATTTAGTTGGCAGTAATCTTTGGCACAAATCTCTAGGAGATTTAATCAGTCAACGTTCACGCACTTAAAGCATACATCATCAACGAAAACGAAGATTTCTTTTAAACACACGTGATTTTATTGACAAAAGTCACTAATTTTACCTTGGGGGAATACGCGATTGTGGTCTTAATAGGAATAATGAAAAACATAATAATATTATGTGTAATAACAATGATTTCAACTCAAACAATGGTTGTTTCTGTGGTTTTAACTAAATTTAGCGAATTCCAAATAATAATATGTAAAGCTGAAATTACGTTTAAATACAACGCAGTTATGTCAAAAACACGTGTTCAAATATTCTGATGGTTGCGAATATATTATTGTTGTCATCTTAGAACCTTGTATCGGGATCTGTTTGCACAATTGGAAACAATAGTCTATTAATATTCGTGACACAATTCTAATAAATATTATTATGGATGTGTTATTTTTATTGTTATTACTGATATTTGTAACGGTGCTGTTGTTATCGGCTTTTTCTTTTAGAATACATTTTATTTCTGTTTCGTTCCTAGTTGGAGTATATTTGATATTTTTTAGTCTTTGAGTATACATATATTTGTTGTGTTACTATGGGCTGCGTTTATATGCGATAGTTCCGTATTTACATCTGGTTACAAAACTTTCGATAAATGAAGAGGTCAAAGGTTAGGCCTACTCTGCACCATATCGTACCAATCCTTGACCTGGCCTGAACATGCCAGACGTTTTTATCAATTTCCTTATGGAATTAATAAACTTATAAAATAATCCAATAAATAAAATAATGTAAACAAGTATTGACGTAGCTTTACGTTATCGTAGCGATAAGTTAAAACAAACAAGTGAAAATTGTTCAGTAGCGGTCAAGCACATTGTAATCAAGACTGGTCGTTTGACCTCAGAGGTGATGTCATTGCAGTACTCATCCCATCGCTTAATGTAACAAAATAAACATCATAATTATTTATAAAGGTGGCAACAAATACAGATGAATAATACATCGAAACGGGAAAATGTAAGGGACAATGATAACGCAAAACGTTTTGCGGTTTAAGACTTCTAGAAAAATGACGAAAAGTAAAGTACTTGTACCTAATCTTATCGCTGAGAAACACAACTTCAGCAAACGCATAAAGTACGTCAATCGAAAGAACGTAAATGTTAACTTTCAGACAGAAAAATATTCTATCGTATCCATAAACAAACAAATAGCAGATGTTTTAGAGATTTGGGGGTCCTGTTTGGCGAAAACATGTTTACCATAATGTATGTAATCAGTTAAGCGTTTATCTACTAACGTATGTACGATTGCTGTAATCTATAGATTTACTTTAACTCTGGTAGATTTCCGAAGATTTTTTCAGTGTTTAGATAGATAATATATTAGCATTGGAATATGATTAATATCAAAAATAAATAACAGATAAGTACAATACAGATATGTACGGACAAGGTTAACGTCAGTATTACGTTTCACGAAACAGTGATCGCGCGATTGGTATCTTTGAATGTTTTTCTCAAGGAAAGTAATTTGGTTTTATTGGTTATTGTTTGAAGTTTCGAAAATCAGTGTTCAGAAATAAAATATAAGTGTGCCCTGGATATTTTTATGGTGCTGTGCTGCGTCAAGGTAGCTGTATCTGAATGGCTTCTACAAAATAAAACCCGTTTTTCTCGGGTGCAAATTAAATCACGGTGATAAAAACATACTTAAAAGGTGCAGGCCATGCCACCAGTTAGCGTACATCCACATAAAAGATAGGAAGGAGACTGATCACACCGTTACGGACGCGACAACGGCTTCATTACAAGGAGCAGGTTTGTTTTCCAAGAAAACTTTTCTAGCGTTTCCTGGGTTCGTGATGCGATTCTGATCTGGCGCGTGCTCTCTCGGAGCCGCTCTTAGTTGCAAATTACTCGACGCTTGTTCACGTTATTGGCGGCACGCGACCGAATCGTGTGACCTCCTGACGTCTCCGGGTCTTTATCCAGTTGGTAGGCGTACACGAATCGGCCGCATAATCAAGAGAGCACGTGTCTCCACTCCAGCACTGCGCCGGTGCCGGCTTTCCTTCCGTGTCTATTCTCGGCCGGCCGAGTCCCGTCGGGTCACGTTTAGCTCATGCAAATCACGTATACAACGAGAGAATTAGCATACGATGGAGCTGGAAGCAAATAAAAATTTCAACACGCACTTCCAAACAAATAAACACCGTTTTCATAATACTTGCTAATGACATCTTGGAAACACAACAAAAACTAACGGAGTGTTGCGATGGTAAATCACGCGGTACAGTATAGGCAAGAGTTCGTGTCAATCATCAGAGAGAAAATTCAGAGAGAAGAATAAATGCGAACGCTTGACCAGAATCAAAGAAATTTATGTTTGAACAGATGTGAGAAACCGGGTCAGTGGTGTAAGGCTGCTACACATCAATATGACGGTACGCATAAACACATTCAACCGAGTGACGTAACGTTAGGCGTAGATATTACGAAAACCGGCGAGAACCCAGAGTACAACTGAATCCAAAATATATACAATCTGCAGGTACATTCATCGAGCGCCATGTAAGATGGCGTTCTTCAAGGTGGACCGGTTTAAATACTGGTCGTGCTACGTTTTGCCTGATGCTGAGATGTTAATATACTACTTACTGTATACGTTAAATTAATGCAATACACATTGTTTTCAACGTTGCGAATTCAATTACTGTCATTCTGCTATTATATTTTACGACTAAGTACAAATTTAATCAGACCGATTATGAAAAGACAAGATTATAATATTACTACGAACGAGTTGTATTCGTTGAATCCGGAGTTGTATTGCCACAGTTGTTATGAAATTATTTTGTATGGAAAGATACTCCGAGGTGATAAAAATATTATTACGTATGTACAAGTAACCAGGTGCACCAACAATATTTGATGACTTAACGTGGTGACGTATTTATAATTATGCCATATTATTTAATTTAAAGATATACGATAAAATGTTTGGACCATACTAAAAATAGTAGGATGATATTGAGCGTTCATTTATATTAATGAAATCAGTTGTGTAGTTGCAACTAATTGTTGTTGTTTAGTTAACAATAGATTTGAACAAGATAACGACATATATGGAGCTAGGAGAACTGCACGAGCGTGTTGTGGGAGTGATAAAAATACTATGATGCGATGGTAGTGAGCATTAGGGCTGGATTGGGGTCAATCGCTTGAGGCCATCTGCGTCGGCTAATTATAGACGATGTGAGACGCGTCCAATAGTGCACGACGATGAATCTCAATTGCGATAGCAGATGTACTTGATGGGAGAAGTGAAATCTGTTGCAAATGTTGCGCCCACCCAGATTACGTTGTAGAAGTGGAGGAAGTAACCCTGCCAAATTATTACGACAAACAGAACAGCCGTATTATAAAATCGATGTTAGTGGTGAGACAGATGTACACAAATGTCGCGACGTTTGATAATTATGTAAGTAAGTTGCTTAAAATGTAGAACGCTGTATATTTGGACGGTAAGAAACAAAGGTTGCATTGTTAGTGGACAATAAAGGCAGTGCTTGTGAATGCAATCATGTGCAAATAGAACATGGAACTGACATCTATAAGAACTAATTTGTCAATAAACTGTAAAATGCAACACATAACATACATCACAGAAATAAATGAAGTAAATTATGGTCTCATGGTATTTTATGCTACGGGGCAGAACGGGACGCGTTTCCTGGCCATTAAAAAAGGGAAGTCATTAGTGATTTAAATGGTGACTCCGATCTAATAACGGTGTTATGCAGTTCAACCATTGCTATTATAAACACGGATAAACTCTCAGGAGATTGCATCTTTACGCAACTGCTGCGTGAAACGGAATCGTAATAGCTACGATTCAGCGTGTAACTCGAAAAATGATAATGTCGAAATTTCCTCAACGACGAACGCGTGAGCGTTTATCGACATTCTGTCGAATGCTGCGTGATATCGGTCGACGATACCACTGACCGATATTCTTAGGAAGTTTTTCGTTCAAGGAGACGCGATTTATTACATCAAATATTTGTTTGACATCATCGGCCCAATGCAGATATATGTGTATATTTGCAGTTCACATTAATCGCCAACCTACATTTAAGAATTAGAATCAGAGTTCATTGACTTGCAAGTTATTGGGTGACGGACGATACCAGCGGTATTATGCTGTTATTTTTGTTTGCTACGTAAGATAAAATAATACGAAAGTTATCGCGCACTCGCGGCCGTGGCACACGCGTTGTGTTTATCAGAATGCGGCGATTTACAGCACAAAAGGGACGCGGCATCCACAAAGCCGGTTATAAAATGTTCCACGAATTACTAGGATTGAGAGCATGCGGAACCTCGGCGGCCGACTGACACGCCACACTCTGGACGTCGTAGACTGCAACGTCAGTCCAGTAAAAACTAATGATTGTTAGCCGATGGAATCTTCGCGACAGATAGATTAAATTCATAGAAAGAAACGATAATGGGACTTAGCAACGATTTAATAGCTTGAACTATGTGTTGCATTTTTCACATTAACCAATTAATCTTGTTGTTTGCAGTAATTATCAGCAAGTCGATAAGCTTTTTAAAAAGTACTAAGATAAGATACCAAAAATGACTAAGAAATCTATACAGGTACAATTCCAACATATCGTTGTCAGGTTTTGCCATAGAAATAGCAAAATACCGCTTTACAAAATTACTAACCACAGATCTTTAAGAGATTATAAAGGCCCCTTGCTCTAAAAAGTAATTATCTTTTAGTTCATTACAATAGCAACTATTGAACAAGTCATTTATTGCCGCGACTGTACGGGACTATAATGTAGCATTTCCTCTATTAAAGTCAATTATGACAATAGCGGTAACATTAAAGGAGGATTTATTTAACCGAGTCACGTGAGCATTGTTGACGATGTGTGCTGGTAAACGAGCAGTTTTCACGTTACTTCACAGGTGATGTTGACACACCATGTTGAATGAACGTGTAATTGTTTCCCTTGCGTTTAGTTAGACCAAAACATTTGTAGAGAGGTGAAGAGAAAGTTGATAATTTTTCTCTAAATTTAACAAAGGTTCGGCCGTCGAAGACCAATGTTTTTTTTTGTTGAAGATTTTTATTTTCAAGAGCGCCTTTAAATCCCTAATCTGAACCACCTCTTAAAATGCGGTAAGCCTCAATGCGTTGTTTTCATTTTGCAAAGCATTTGTTTACACCGTTCGAGGCTTTAATGTTAGCCCTGGACTTTTGTTTTGGTATAATATAGTTAATTTCCATGTTCTAAGGTATTAAAACTCAGTAGGCAATATAATTAGTAATGCATTATTTTGTTACATTGACAAGCAATCATCGTTTGTTAAATAACCAGTCGTGATCATAGATTGCATGACAACATCTCTTTACAATCTATTGTAATCATTGAATTGGTTATTGTTAGGGGGAAAACCACGTTGCAGGGTGCAATGTGGGTTTTTAATAGTTTTCCTTTTATTTTAGGCTTTATTTTAAACAACTAAACATTTCCTAATATAACGTTTTACTTTTTGCGCGTCGGAAGGCAAAGGTGTATTAATAGAATGTAATACTCTTTACAAATCTCATTGCCTAATGCAATACACCGGGTATAACACATAAAGAGCGTTCGCAAAACTCAATGACACTGTCATAGTGTCTGAATTAACAGAATTTATAAAGGAAGGTGTGGTGGACTTGTCCCAAAAGTCCTCAGAATTTGTATTTGCAATTATTGTTAGCGCGGAACAGAGGCCTGTAGTGGATACTTTATTATGATATATTTTATAATTTCCACGTTACGTATAGACGGTAATAGGCTAATGAAATGAAAATCATTTCCTTACGCAAGCAATAAAGTTTATAAAAGGAAACGGTTATTAAAGTAGGCGATTTATAAACACAAACGTGTGTTCTGTGGTTATTGAACTTATTATGTGCCTTTGTGCCTATGGCTTCTAAGATAATTCAGTGTAACGAACACCCATTCTAAATGTAGTACATAATGTAATAGGATTATTGTAACTCACCATTGCTTGCTCGATCTTGTTGTCGATGGCCACCGCGCTTGTGCCCGATGCGCTGTAACAAAAAGGAAAATACAATAAGAAAATGTATTTACTACAAAGAAACGACAAAAAGTTAAAGGTACGCGTTACACATGAGTCATATCGCACGACGCGATTGTTTACAAAACTGAATACCAAAGAACTGAGTGACACAGCAATTCTAGCACACGTGGTAGACAAAACAATTAATAAATTAAGTAGCTTGTTATCTATTTATATTAGCTAATAATAATCCCAATTAATGTTTTGTAGATTGGTATAATAGATACGTGAAGAAGGTTCCGTTCAAGATTTCGGGATGCGGAAACCCAGTGCCATAATCATGTTCGAATAATTTATTCACGCACGGATGAGCACCGTCCTGGCAAATACAAGAATTTACGCGTACAACGCTCACGTCTACATTTCCCATATAATAGTTAGTTTCCGCAAAGCAATCGATTTACTATACGCACGCCTTTGTCTGAGGAAAGATGTCTGTTTTAAACGATGTTGCACGAAGATTTATTGTTTATGTTGACGACAAGTTGATTGTGCTATCGGTGCGTCGGAATGCTAAATTAGTCGTTGTATCGAAACGCTTTCACGTTTTAAAAACGCCTCAATCGACAATGTGCGTACGTTATAGTACAATTACTGCGGACGTTAGTAAGTATTGGTGTTTGTGCAATGGAAAGGTGGCGCAAGGGCGATCGTATTCCAAGATAATGCACATTCAATATGTAATTACTTATTACTGTAATAAATAAGCATGGGCCGGTAATTTTAAGAAAAGCTTCCGTCGGTTGCACCGCGGATGATTACGCTAACATACAACGCTGTGGATAAATATTGCAAAAGCGTTGACCGCCTGTTGAACTGTGCGGTATTTGTAACAACAACAGGGAACAATGGAGGACTAAATTCTGGTGTGGCCTGTAGCCTATTACCTCGATTGTAGTTGCAAACTCATATGTACTTGCAGCAAGAATGGAGAGCAGTGTCATAAACAATCACCTAGACATAATTTGAGGTAAAAATTAAGAAATACGTCTTCACTCGCCAGATGTGGACACTTGACCTACAAACCTCTATCGATTCGTACAGACAGCCGGCCGCCGAGTAAGATTCGAGAAAAATAAGCTAATTTAAACGATGTAACGTTACAAGTCAGCGAACCATCGCCGAGGTCTAAAACCTCTCTCGTGGGTAACAGTAAATGTGAAGTTGCATTTTGTACATAATTCTGTCATGACGGTGCAACCATTATTTGTAATTGTACCGAATGCAGCAAAACAATGGTGCACAAATGCAACGTGTCACGAGCTCAGCACGCGGCGGTCGGCCACGTGCAGCGCGAGAATGACGACACACTCTACTTAGCAACTGGAGAGATACCATTACTGGCTACGATTGCCGGACTTACCCATTATGATCCAATCTCGCTGGTGTAATCGTCCAGTAGCTAGTATGTAGCACGACGTACGGCTGCGTACTTGACTTTCTCCGACGGATTCCGTGTCGCGTCAACGAGGTGAACAACACAACGTTAAAGTTGAAGCCATTCGACCGTTGAGGACCGCGTCGCGGATCGATTTCGACCGGTTCGCCATCGAGCTCCCCGACATAAAACAACGGCCGTGGACCACATGACCACCACCGCAACAATGGACTGCCGGAACATTAATGTCTGCCGTTCCAACCGTATATGCGGTGCAAAGAGGTAATTATGTAAATAGAGGCCGATTCCAAGATAATCTTTGAAAGTCTTAAATCTAATACGGGTGTTGACACACAATAAAAACTTGCTTTCTCTAGGCGGAACTCTACAATAACAAGTTTTAGTATTCTGTGAGTGATTACGCAATTTTGAGGAGTTGACAAAATTGCAAGGCACCGGTGTAGAGGTGCATGAAAAAGTTGTAACATAAGACAGCGAAACCCAAGAAGCGGAGAAAGTATAAAGTGTAGGTGACGATGACGACATTTCTCCGTCAAGATCAATGCTAAACGATGATAATTATGAGATCAACAGAGCTCAGTTCATTATACTGTTCGTAACTGAACGAATCTCACATTTATAAATGTCCTGTCTAATATTATCACAAGCTTGCCTGTTTTGACTTTCACGTTTTTTACGACCGAAAAAGTTGACAAAAAGAACTCTTCTGGTTGGCTCTATTCTTCAGACAGCAGATACAAGCTTATTTTGAAGCCAGTTTCTCTCTTCTCATAACAGTTTGAAAATATGAGTCAAAAATTACTATTCTAGACTCATATTTGGTACACCAAAAACCTGTTGTTTATTCATTTATCACACTCTTATCGCTAATGGAGAAACTGGATACACTGTACTGGATAAATGAACACGAGTGTTGAAACAGAACATAAATGAAAATGTGTTTAAAAGATGTTAAGTAAATAGTAGATGCAAACAAAGAGATAAACGTTTTGTCACTACGCACGTGCGTGTTTGCGTAGACTACACTCAACTCTACTGCACTTCAAACACGTCTCGCGAACAAAGACGCGACAGTTTTTCAAGACTTTCATGGCAGAACAAAAGAACCTTTAAGATTTTCGTTATAATAAGCAAAAACAATAATGCCTCATTTTTATTTTTATGATCAGGATGAAAATAACATCTGCCCCGCTTGCTGCTGCTTCATGTTTAGTGAATTACCAAACTGGTTTAATGGAAATCTTTTGTTAAGAAACACAAGATTCGTATTTACGAGCCTGAGACGGCGAACGACGAAGATTGGGCAAGTAAACGTTTAAATGAATTTACATCAGTTATCGATGATCTTTGTGGAAAATGTGCACATGTTACATTATTCAAATCTATTTTCAATACTGCCATATCCAGAAGATGTCTCGATTAGCATTTTAGGAGAACACATTTGATTTTTCGAAGTTGGAAGAATTACTATTTATTCATACTAAATGTTGCGTACTAAGTGTTTTGGCTTTGCATCAACCGCTTCATTTCTCTGCACTTCCCTATGGTTGACTGTTAGAGCACCTTAAGGCATTAAGTCCGCCATTCACTGCTATCTATGGTGAAGAGGAAATAAGTAAATAAATAAATGAAAATACTAAACACTAGAGAAAAGATAGACCATCAAGAAGCACATGTCAACAATCACGTACTCATAAGTGTCAGACGTCAAAGAAAACATTGCAATGATAACAGTATCAAAATTTGTATAAGTCCGATGAATCATGATGTACCAAACAATTGCGCTGTTTAGTCGTACAACAATACCAACTAGAAAACAAAGGTCACTGAAGAAATTATGCGAGTGGCATGAAATTTGAATGTGTTAGTCATGAACACTTAAAGCGCACATTGTTTGTCCACTACCGGTATTCGTCAGATAGTAGTCAATTAGTTTAACTGTTGACAATTTGAATCAGCTCTATTGAATCGAATTGCTTGGCTAACATTTGCGTTTTATTAAGTGATCATCACTATTCAAAGAAATTGCGTGCACAATCTACACGTTCGGTCATTTGGAATTATAAATTACATTTATAGTAATAGGGATTATCAGCATTATCGGTGAGCAGTGTGGTCGTGTATTGTTATCGTGTAGCGAGGCGAGTGCGCACGCGCAAGGTCATTGAAGGGAAATCGTTGGGTGTAGTGTCGACATGGCTGGCGCCAGCGGCTCTGGCGTTACATCTTGCAGTCGTGTTTCATAACACACTCACAGTTCCTTTCAATTAGCGCAAAGAAATGAGTGGTAGGTAGTATAAATTCAATTGAACGAATTGTTAGTTACATGGACGATAGAATTTATGACTGAAGCTGATTGTGGGGGAAGTATAAACGTTTTGCGAAATATAGTGGTTTAGAAGCCTAGCCATAAACTTGAATCACGTGAAATAATACAGCTGAAGTTGCCTTCACGTGCCATAAAGAACAATGGTGGGTAGGAGTAAACACTAAAACCAATTGGACACAAAGGGCATTAGTGGGACACTAGGAGCATAATGTGCTGGTAGTCAGTGTTTGTCACGCGAAACGGTCACGCAACGGTGCTTTCCCTAGGATTTCATAAAACACTGCTGCTGATATTATGAATGACTTAATTATGAACGGTATTATCGTCCTGGCCTAGCATCATAATTAATTCAGTCTTGAATCAAATTACCAAATCGCCGTAAACGATAAAAAATATTTATAGTTTTAACACGAATAAATGAAATTATGCACTTAACGCGTGGTTGCTTAAGACCGTGAAAAGATATTAGTCATCGGAAGATCCTGGTGGCAACTAAAAATAAAATGTGAATGAGTTAAACACGAAGGTTCAACGTCTGATGAGCGAGTGTCGGTGGTGCAGGGGCAGGTTCAACGGACAAAATTCAAAAGACGCAAGGTTGAAAATGGCAATAAAGCGGACCTAGACCTTAAGAATAATAATGGTGTTTAGTGCAACGGATCGATACAGTAGTCAAGCCATAGGGACACCTATGTTCAGTAGGCGGCGCTGACGACAGGCGCAACGGTTTGTCTGTCTGCAGCCGGCCACGTTGCCGTGGAACCTTCACCGACTTACCGGCTCGGTAATTAGCTGTGCTGTGTGAGAACCTTCACACCACCGTCACTTGGCCGACCAACAGCCAGCGACGGGCCCGCAATGCGTCAGCTTAACAAACCGTTGCAGACAAAAAAGACGAAAAATTTAACGGTACTCACACGGGGTAGAAGTAGTCTATGTACTTCACGACGACCTCTCTGAGCAGATCTTGCTTGTTCATGATGGACGTGTAGCTTCCACTTATAAGTTTTGTTTGCATGGTTTCCACTTCTCCTATCAATTTTACTGTACGGGACCCTCGAGTCCCCGCCGTCGGGTTCAAAGGAGCCGTTTTTATTGTTTTGTGCGTTGGAAAACGTTGTGCGTGATGAGGTAGCAATGGTAAAAATGTTTGTTACGGCGCGCGGGCAACCGGATCGACGCGTTGCGGCAAACTGGGACCGGGCCGGTCGCAGCTAGGCGGGCGGTGGGGGAGGGGATCGGA